AGGGGGCGGCTATTTATAGCCTAGGGAGCAATCCGACATGATAAGACATAAATGCCCTTGTCTGATATGACCGTTAGGTGGGTAGATATTTTGGGACAGCTGGCGCGTAGCACAGCCTCTGTTGGAAAAGGCAGTGCCTAGGAGGCGCTTAGGAACGCCTAGGCTCTAGGCAATGGCCAAACGCCTCGCCTAGGGCATAAATGAAGGTCTAGGCAGGGCAAGCAAGGAATTGCCTACCCAAGAAAGAAATCATGCCACATACTGCACTGATATGCCAAACGGGTTATATTCCAATGGATGTAGATGGTAATTCACTTATTTATATTCCCTTAACTAATATCAACACCCATATAATAATCACAAATGCACTACGAGTAAAAACTATATTACCGCCTAGGCCGCGCTTAGGGCGCTTAAGGACCGCCTAGGCACTAGGCGATGGCCAACCGCCTCGCTTACGCCTACCGATTTTTCTAACCCAGAGCACAGCAACGGTCGGAATATTTGACTCTCAAATACCTCAGGACTATCATGTTCCTCACTTTGTAGGCAATCTGCACTGGCAAATTCCTAACTCCTTAGTCAGAACAAATTCCTCAGAGACCAGAAGAACTTCGTCTCTGTCACTGAAGAATATGACTGAACTGTGCGAGATTTCCAATGGCTTCACTCTAAAGGATTGGTAGGTGTAGGATTTTGAGTTGAGCATCACATGGAAATTTTTCCTTAGTATTTCCTCGACCCCCTTTAACAGTACGGTGTTTCCTATGACCCAAGAAAGATAAAATGAAACAGTGAAAACAAGAGTCTTCATGCTTCATGTTCCTCGAATGATTACCAAGTCTTCAAGGTCACACCAATTTCTTCACTTTCAAAGTCTTCAGAAAGTCTTCAAAAATCCAAAGTCTTCAGACGAAGAACTTCATTTTTAGGGGTCGACTTTCTCTATAAATATCAAACTCCTCATAGACTTATAGACCTATGTACACTCACAAACGTATCAGTCTCTTAACCTATAAGTCTTCAATACACCAAAATCACGAAGGGGCACTAGATGCACTTACAGAGCGCCTTAGTTACCCTTAGTTTTCATTAGGACCCTGCTGCCATGGGAAGGTAGGACAAAAGATGTTATGCAAGTTCTTATCACATGCCTACATATGATTAATGAATTGAAGCTAGTTTGTTATCGCTCTAGCTTATGATTATTGCATATTGAATATCATCTGAACACCCCGTCGCTATTATTCACTACTGCTTTGCTTGTTACTATTTCTGCTATTGTTACTATGACAATATTAGAAAAGCGTATGCATGGTGTTAACACCTCATCACTACTGCTATCATATTTCCGTGCAACTAATAAATTGCTGCAAGGAAGTTATCTCGCAGGTCTGCTTAAATTGCCAACTCAACTACTAAGGCCTATACATATTTTTTGGCTCCCTTTGTGTCGAATCGATAAATTTGGGTTGAAATACTACCCTCGAAGACTGTTGCGATCATCACTATCTAAAGCAGGAGCAGTGATGGGAGTCTCAGTTCTTGGTTCATCACCTACACATTTAAAATAAATCCATGATATGGTATCCAAGAAATCTGAATAATAAGATGAAGAGTAGAATATTGTTGAAGTAGATGATTACAACTGGGGTGTGGCGAAATTTATCAGGGGAGAGTTGAAGACAAAATATGAGTTGTAAAATTAAATTTATTGATATGTTCTTTAAAAAATTATATACTAGTATGTAGTGTCAGAGCTAGAAGAAATTTGTTTGGGGAGGGGGGGCGAAGGCTAATTTCCCCACATCTAAGACCTCCCATAAATAAATTCTTCATTAGTTGGTTCAAAGAGGGGGGGGGGGCATTGGCCCCTCAGCTAAGTAGCTTGGACCTCTACTAGTATGTTGGTAAATTGACACCCTTACCTAAAGACACCTTCTTCTGTGATGACCTTCTTTTCCTCAACAAAATAACCCAATGCAAGCGAGGAGTGCCTGGATGACCACTAGTACAGCGGCAACCACACCTAAACTTATTCTTTTCTTTTTCTTCTCCTTCGTCTTGTCATCTGCATACATCGAGATAATATTATTCAAAATGAAAAAAATAGATAAGTAGGTGTATTCAATATTTCATTGTGATATCAGCTTACCTTTTCATGCGTTTGAGGAGAATGTGCCAAAAAATTGCATTGGCTCGACGTTAAAAAACTTGTAAAGGTGAAACTGGTAGCTGCACCACGGCAAAGTAGACATCTGACCTGACCATCCGGTTAAACTGCTGGCAGATCACAAATCATCAAGACAGTCTCCACACTCTACATGCATCAACTCTGGTACACACTACGCCAAGCCGTAGGCGGTGTACTTGGTGCCATCTACGTTGATCTCCTTGACTGCAGTGGCGAACCTGTCAAACATGTTTGCTGCCATGCCAGCTACACCGGCAATGACTGCAATTATTTTGTTGTCAAATGCATTGCTTTTGCATAGTGGCAGTATCAACCTGTTCCATTTATGTTGCCCACTCGCGATATCCACTTGATCATGTCGCCAAAAATGTGAAGTGTGCAAAGATCGGAAATGTGGGTTACTCCTTTCTCAGCACACAAGCAAGTTGTGCCTTTCTTTGGCTCCCCTCATATTGAATCAATAAATTTGAGTTGAAATAGTACCCTCGAAGACTGTTGCAATCCTCTATACTTGTGGGTCATCAGTATCCAAAGCAGGAGCAGTGTGGGTCAATCTTGGAGCACCAAGGTCCTTTTTATCTCCAATGATGGGAGTCTTAGTTCTTGGCTTCATCACCTGCACATTTGAAATAAATCCATGATATGGTATCCAAGAGATCAGAATAATAAGATGAAGAGTAGAATATTGTTGAAGTAGATGATTACAACTGGAGTGGGCTGAAATCTATCAAGGGTGAGTTCAAGACAAAATATGAGTTGTAAAATTAAACTTATTGATAAATTCTTTTAATAAATTATATACGAGTATGTAGTGGCAGAGCTAGAAGAAATTTGTTAGGGGGCAAAGGCTAATTTCCCCCATCTAAGACCTTCCAAAAATAAAATTTTCATTAATTGATTCAAACAGGGGGAGGAGGGCATTGGCCCCCTCAGCTAAGTAGCTCGACCTCTACTACTATGTTGGCATATTGACACCGTTACCTAAAGACTCCTTCTTCTGTAATGACCTTCTTTTCCTCAACAAAATAACCCAGGCAAGGAGCGCCTGACCACTATTACCGCGGCAACCACACCCAAAATTATCTTCTTCTTTTTCTTCTCCTTCTTCTTCTTGTCATCTGCATACATCCAGATAGTATTATTCAAAATGAAAACTTTAGATTATAATAAGTAGTTGTATTCAATATTTCATTGTGCTATCAGCTTACCTTTTCATGGGTTTCAGGAGAATGTGCCAAAATTTTGCATTGGCTCCCCGTTGAAAAACTTGTAAAGGTGAAACTAGTAGCTGTACCACAGCAAAGTAGACCTCTGACCTGACCATCTGGTTAAACTGCTAGCAGACCACAAATCATCGAGATAGTCTTCACACTCTACATGCATCAACTAAGGTACACACTGCGCCAAGCCGTAGGCGGTGTACTTGGTGCGATCTACGTTGATCTCCTCGATTGCAGTGGTGAGCCTCTCAAACATGTTTGCTGCCATGCCAGCTACAACGGCAATGACTGCAATGATTCTGTTGTCAAATGCCTTGCTTTGCATAGTGGTAGTATCAACCTGTTCCATTGAAATATTGCCCACTGGTGATATCCACTTGATCGTGTCGCCAAAAATTTGAAGTGTGCAAAGATCGGAAATGATGGGTTACTTCCTTTCTCAGCACCCAAGCAAGTTGTGCCTTTCTTTGGCTCCCCTCCTGTCGAATCAATAAATTTGGGTTGAAATAGTACCCTCGAAGATTGTTGCGACCCCCTATACTTGTAGGTCATCAATATCCAAAGCAGGAGCAGTGTGGGTCGATCTTGGAGCACCAAGGGCCTTTTCATCGCTAGCTAGTGATGCAAGTCTCAGTTCTTGGTTCATCACCTGCACATTTGAAATAAATCCATGTTATGGTACCCAAGAGATCAGAATAATAAGATGAAGAGTAGAATATTGTTGAAGTAGATGATTACAACTGAGTGAGGTGAAATCTATCAGGGGTGAGTTCAAGACAAAATATGAGTTGTAAAATTAAACTTATTGATAAATTCTTTTAATAAATTATATACGAGTATGTAGTGGCAGAGCTAGAAGAAATTTGTTAGGGGGCAAAGGCTAATTTCCCCCATCTAAGACCTTCCAAAAATAAAATTTTCATTAATTGATTCAAACAGGGGAGGAAGGCATTGGCCCCCTCAGCTAAGTAGCTCGACCTCTACTACTATGTTGGCATATTGACACCGTTACCTAAAGACTCCTTCTGTAATGACCTTCTTTTCCTCAACAAAATAACTAATCCCCCATGGCTAATTATTTTGAACCGTATTTATTTTGGTCTCATTTCTGAAAGACTCCGTTCCGTTCCATCTAATCCCCCATGGCTAATTACAGGATGGAACAACTCCATTTCTCCTCGCAAAAAAAGAAAAGAAAAAGAAAGAACAACTCCATTTCACTTGGTTGCGGTTCCTCCAATCAAAGCGGTGTTAGTTAGTTGGACAGTGATTGATTTGTTTGGCTCACCAACCCCCCCTCACCTAACACTCCAAAAAAACAAAAACTGATTCTAGGTGCAATACAATATCTATCTACTACTCCACTGTACTACGCGATATGTATTGGAGAAAAAGGGGTCTACTTGCCTTGGTAGTATATTCTTCCCCTCATGGATGATGGCTACGTGTAGCCGGCACCAACTATGATTTTCAGTTGGAGCCCCTCACCTCACTCTCACACCGGAGCAAAACAAAGAGAGTTGCATCATCAAACATGCATGCAGGGAGAAAATACACAATAATAAAACAAAATACGGTTAGGCCTTATGTATTTCTTCACTCAACTAGAATGTGATTGTATACTGAGAAAAAGAACAAGAGGGGGTAGGTCGTCCAACGGATGGTGGGACCCGGTCGCCGAACAAGGTGTTGAAAGTGCAGAAGAGAAAGACGGGGAAAGGTTCAGCCCAGCCGCTTTGCTGACCCTCTTGTTTCTGTTTGGGTTCGACCGACGCTGCCTATGTTTTTTGCGGCTAAAAGGAGCAGTATCATCGGCTAGAAAGCAAGCAAGACGGCACGGAGATTTCTGCCTCTCCTCCCGCAGACGTCGCCTCCTTGAACCAGACACGCCACCAGGCAGCAGGAAAGTGAGGCAGGAGAAGGCTCTCCTCCTTGCAGCAGGCATCGGTTCTATTCTATCAGCAAGCAGTTCAGGTTAGTGCCTTCTTTTCTCTTGATTTTCTCGTGGAAGCATCATCGCGATTCACATGTTCTTCCAGGAATTGGAACTTAGATACGTACGTACTAGGTTCTTCTTTCTTGGTGTCCATTTAGCTGAGACTGCCTGCGAATTGGATAGTGCATGCGCGGGCTGAAATGAACTAGGGTTTGGTCAGCTCGCAGTTCTTCCGTGCGTGGGCAACTCTGATTCTGTATCGGCTGTTCTTTTGGGTGGCAATCAGTTCTTCTGTACCATAGAACGAATGGAATGGAATGAATTCTCAAGCGCCTGATCGATTGATTTCCTTTATCCGCATCAGGTTGGCAGGGCGCAAGAAATTTGGGGATTTTCCCCTGTGCAGTCAGTGACAGTGTTCTCCCTTTGTGCTCACCTGACAGAACCAAGAAGATTGGAGACGGGCATGCGCAGGGTTCGAGTCTCGTCCCACCACTCTCCGGTCCACAAGCTGGGCGATTCGAACATGAAGCTGACGCCCAAGTTCCGGCTTGCCGCCGGCACCACCTCATCACCGTCCTCCTCCGAGCTGGAGCAACCTCAACCCCCATGGGAGACGCCGCTCATCCCGGGCCTCCCGGACGACGCGGCGCTCAACTGCCTGCTCCGGCTGCCCGTGGAGGCCCACGGCGCCTGCAGGCTCGTGTGCCGCCGCTGGCGCCACCTCCTGGCCGACAAGGCGCGCTTCTTCACGCAGCGGAGGGCCATGGGCCTCCGCTCGCCGTGGCTCTTCACGCTCGCCTTCCACCGCTGCACGGGCAAGATCCAGTGGAAGGTGCTGGACCTCGACCGCCTCGCCTGGCACGCCATCCCCAGCATGCCCTGCCGGGACCGGGCCTGCCCCCGCGGCTTCGGCTGCATCGCCGTCCCGGGCGACGCCGCCCAGCTGCTCGTCTGCGGCGGGCTCGTCTCCGACATGGACTGCCCGCTGCACCTGGTGCTCAGGTACGACGTCTGCAGGAACCGCTGGGCCGTCATGGCCCGGATGCTCTCGGCGCGGTCCTTCTTCGCCGGCGGCGTCGTCGACGGCCGCGTGTACGTCGCCGGGGGCTACAGCACGGACCAGTTCGAACTGAACTCAGCCGAGGTTCTCGACCCGGCCAACGGCGTGTGGCAACCAATCGCCAGCATGGGCACCAACATGGCCTCCTCTGACTCGGCCGTGATCGGCGGCAGGCTCTACGTCACCGAGGGCTGCGCGTGGCCCTTCTTCTCGTCGCCGAGAGGGCAGGTGTACGACCCCAGGGCCGACCGCTGGGAGGCGATGCCGGCCGGGATGCGCGAGGGGTGGACGGGGCAGAGCGTGGTCATCGACGGGCGGCTGTTCGTCATCTCGGAGTACGAGAGGATGAAGGTGAAGGTGTACGATCCGGAGACGGATTCCTGGGATCCTGTCGACGGGCCTCCCATGCCCGAGCGGATCATGAAGCCTCTGTCCGTGAGCTGCCTGGACAGCAAGATCGTCGTCGTTGGCCGGGGTCTCCATGTGGTGATCGGCCATGTCAAGAAGCAATCCGGCGGCAACAACGGCGGTGGCGGCGGTTCTTGTGACTACTTGGTTCGTTGGCAGGATGTGGAGGTTCCCAGGGCGTTCAGCGATCTGACGCCTTCAAGCAGTCAGATTTTACATGCTTAAAAGTAACTCTGCCTCTAGAATAAAAGCTCTCCTAGTCTGCAAAGCCCTGTTCGATGTCTGTGTATGTTATTACCATTAGACTCTTTGCTGCTGTCATCTTGTATAATCTGCAAATGATGATGTACTTATCAGTGAAGAAACAATTCAAAACTGTACTGTTGTTGTAAGTAGTATAGATGTTTGTGGGTACTGAACCAAACCGAAGACTGATCCGACTTGTTGCTGAATTTCCAACTACTGTAAATTTGTATCCTCGCCTTGGTCAAACAAACTTTTGTACTATTCAGCCTCCATTTGTGCCAGATGATTGGACGAAAAACTGAAATCCTCATCTACCTACTAGTCGAGCAACGTGTAGGCACTGCCCACCGCAAACGCTAGTCCACAACAGCACAAGAATCCAACCCAAATGCCCTCTTATCTTGTGGCTAACATCAATCCACCAACTGAAACTTGACATTGAAAATAGGCAACTGAACCAATTTCAGACATGCTGCTGCTGATAAAATCCTGAATTTTCACTTGTGAAAACGAAGTTGCCGAGATCGAAGCAGCAGCGCCGCACCCGCCAATGGAGGCGCTCTACCTGCTGGCCTCCCTGTCCACCACCCTCCTCACCTCCGCCCTGCTCTCCCTGCTGCTCCTCCTCCGCCTCCCCTTCGCCCGCCGTCCCGCTCCCGGCGGCGCCGGCGCCGGCGCCGCCCGGCTCTACGAGGGCCGCGTCCGGCACTCGCGCCGGCGGCCGGCGGGGCACGCCTTCGAGTACGCCGTGCGCTACGCCCTCGTGGACCTCGACCTCCTCCCCCTCTCCGGCCACCTCTCCGCCGCCGAAGCCCGCGGCATCGCCTCCACTTCCGGCCCCGTGTAAGCCCCCATTTCTCAACTCCCTGACAAGTTTCGTACTCGTACAACAAATCTCACACCATTTCTTGCAGTAATCTATTGCAAAATCAGATTGCTTGTCGTCTGCAAAACATATTTGTGTTGCAATGGATTTCTTGTGTGTGTGTGTGTGTAAATTTTCCTCATTATTTGCACCGAGGTGAGCCAGTTCTTCGTTTGATGAAGGCGTCTCCTGACGGTACCCAAGAGCGTGGGGTACGAACAGAACCCACTGAGCGTCTACTACTGCTATGACGCAGCTGCAAAAGAACAAGATGAAGACCTCAAGATGTGCATTGCCGAAGTGAGGCCTCTCCTCTCCTCTGTGTTGGATTCCACGTTGATTTGTTTCCTCTGTAGTAGTTGTTAATACTACTAGTTCATTACCTTGTTTTCCCTTTGTTTTTATGTGCATTGTTGACTGTCTAATATTTTACTATCGGTTTCAGGTAACAAATACTCCTTGGGGGGAGAAGGTGATGTTTACCTTCCAACCGGGTTCTGATCTCGTTGCAAAGCCTTTACATGTCAGCCCCTTCATGGTATGTCCTTGGTCAAGATTCAGTATATTATCTTACAGAATATATATACAAGTGTTCATTTGGACAAATGTGGCGTGATGAACCGTGAATTTTTTAGACAAGTTGTGAATTACTTTGTTTGCTCTTTTTCTCAAATGAAACATTTTTGGCTCTATCCTGTTGTGCTCATTGCATAATATTTTTTTGATGGCTGACACCTAATAGTGTTTACTATACAAATTGTATGCAAATTGTCTACTTGGTCTAGTTTCTGATAATTGAACTTGTTATATCTGGTCCCGGATCCACCACCATTAGTCCATTACATAATCTTAGTGGCTTTCCTTTTTGTTGCATGACCTCTAGGATATGCTTGGCAATTGGAGTATTCGTGCTAATGCCCCAGGCGATAATCTATACGTGGCTATTGCGGTTCAGCATCCAACGCTTGGGAACTATTTTACTGCAGCTTTGGATGCCAAGTTAGTTGGTCAGACGAATGACTCGGTTAAGCTAGCAACATTCTTCTGGCTGATGCCTCATAAGGTTGCTGCAGGGATATACTGGGAGGTAACTTTCCTGTGTTCAATGCTCCTGTTCTGGTACCATGCTTATGTTTATAGTTACATTCTCATATAGTATAACGCTATCCTCATACACAGTCCTTCAGATATTTTTAGATCAACTTGCTGGTTACTTTTCATTACTGTGTTGATCATTTGATTCTTGAATTATCTTTCTTGGTTGACCAACTGGACTAATATGTGTAGATTGTAGAGATTAGTTAAGAGTTTTCTTTTGATCTACGACATCTCTGGCATTAAAATATTTGGAAAAACATCGAAGTTTGTAAGAGTATATTCCAATTTTCACCCCATAGTTGAGACTTTGTGACAGCTGTTATCCCATTTGCATAATCTTGCTGTAGTTTATCCCTAACTTTAGATGTTTTGATAGCTTTTACCCCGTTTTGTTATTTACCCACACTTGACAAGGTTGACCTTAGGATGGCGTGGCAGCTATTGACTGGACAACTCGGATATTGTATTCTTTGGAGATGTAACGAATTATGTTAAGTCTCATCAAATTTTATGAAATGGTGTCAAATTTTGTCAAATAGGTGCCGCATCGTGCTGCCCCTGCGCCATGTCAAATATTGCCCCTAATGGATAACATGTCTGAGTTAGTCAGCTGCGACATCATCCTGATATATGGGTCCACCGTGTCAATCTGGAGAAAATAATAAAGTAGGATAAATGCCATCTCATGGTACAACTAAGGGTAAAATGTGGCACGATTTTTTAAATGGGGTAAAAGCCGTCACAACTCAAGGGCTCAAAATCAAGGTAAAATGTGGAATATGCTATTTTTAGGATCTCTATCACTCTATGGTTGGATTTTTGTTTAAACATTATGTTTTTTTACGAAATGCAGCAGCTCTGCTTTTCATTGCCGTTAAGTTAGGGGAAAAGTACACAAGGTTAGTATATGGTGCAAATGGAAAGTAAAGAAGAAAAGCTATACATGAACTAGCAGACTAAACTAAAGGTGGGGAAACTATGGTTGTTCCATCAAAACATGTCTTAGCTCAGGACGTTGGCGCTGGGATTGATTTATGAGAGAAAACCGAAACATTAGTGCTGTAGCAACTGTTTGGTCCCCTTCAGGCCAGACACTTTCCATTCGTCTATCTCATCAGAGAGAAGCTGCGGCAAACGCAGTCAGTGACTTGGCTTCATTGCGGAAGGCCATGTTGGCATGGCATAATTTTCTCCGATCATCTGCATGCAATCCATTTGGTTTCATGCCTGGGAGGTCGACCATGGAAGCCATTTTCTTGGTACGACAACTTATGGAGAGATATAGGGAGCATAAGAAGGACTTGCATATGGTGTTCATTGACTTGGAGAAGGCCTATGATAAGATACCGCGGAATGTCATGTGGTGGGCCTTGGAGAAACACAAAGTCCCAGCAAAGTACATTACCCTCATCAAGGACATGTACAATAATGTTGTGACAAGTGTTCGAACAAGTGATGTCGACACCGATGACTTCCCGATTAAGATAGGACTGCATCAGGGGTCAGCTTTGAGCCCTTATCTTTTTGCATTGGTGATGGATGAGGTCACAAGGGGTATACAAGGAGATATCCCATGGTGTATGCTCTTTGCGGATGATGTGGTGCTAGTTGACGATAGTCGGACGGGGGTAAATAGGAAGTTAGAGTTATGGAGACAAACCTTGGAATCGAAAGGGTTTAGGCTTAGTAGAACTAAAACCGAGTACATGATGTGCGGTTTCAGTACTACTAGCTGTGAGGAGGAGGAGGCTAGCCTTGATGGCCAGGTGGTACCTCGGAAGGACACCTTTCGGTATTTGGGGTCAATGTTGCAGGAGGATGGGGGTATTGATGAAGATGTGAACCATCGAATCAAAGCCGGATGGATGAAGTGGTGCCAAGCTTCTGGCATTCTCTGTGACAAGAGAGTGCCACAAAAGGTAAAAGGCAAGTTCTACAGGACGGCGGTTCGACCCGCAATGTTGTATGGCGCGGAGTGTTGGCCGACTAAAAGGCGACATGTTCAACAGTTAGGTGTGGCGGAGATGCGTATGTTGAGATGGATGTGTGGCCACACGAGGAAGGATCGAGTCCGGAATGATGATATACGAGATAGAGTTGGGGTAGCACCAATTGAGGAGAAGCTTGTCCAACATCGTTTGAGATGGTTTGGGCATATTCAGCGCAGGCCTCCAGAAGCTCCAGTGCATAGCGGACGGCTAAAGCGTGCGGAGAATGTCAAGAGAGGGCGGGGTCGACCGATTTTGACATGGGAGGAGTCCGTTAAGAGAGACCTGAAGGATTGGAGTATCGACAAAGAGCTAGCTATGGACAGGGGTGCGTGGAAGCTTGCTATCCATGTGCCAGACCCATGAGTTGGTTGCAAGATCTTATGGGTTTCACCTCTAGCCTACCCCAATTTGTTTGGGACTAAAGGCTTTGTTGTTGTTTGTTGTTGTTATCTGCATGCAATCCATTATTGATTGTCCTTTACGACAGGATGAGTCAACTTAAAATCACAAAATTGACATGATGCACGCATTTCAAACACAGAATTCAGTAACATGAACTTTTACAAGTTCAGAAGACTTTTCTTCTGGAAATCGTTCTAAACAAGTAAGCATTGCTCAAGAAATAGCTGATGTTGGGAATTGCTATTGTTACAGAAGTTCGAGTGAACATCTTGACTCTGTTATCAGTTTCATCGCGAAATTAAATTGGGAGCTCCTTAATTTGAAAAGGAGGTTGAAGTAAACATTGGTATTTCATATCTTCCGTCTCAGATTTTGAAGTTGCAGGGCACATGATATCTTTAATACTTGACCTAGAACTATGATCAAACAACTGACAGTTGTAAATTTGAAACGACTGTACTACTCGACACCAAGATGGTCCAAGTAATTTGGCAGATGCACCCTTGAAGAGTATGCTGGTTGTTGCTTGGAGCATCATAAATCTAGATAGTTCTGACTGTCACTAAAATTAGGAGATAGCTTGTTTCATATCCTGAACAAACATTTTTCTCTATGTTTCACAGTGCATTTTGCGTGTATACATGCATTTGCGGCCCTTGATCTTAAGTAGGGTTAGAATGAATTGTCTATTCAGCATAGCTTTGAATCATCTCTTTAAAATGCTTCAGTCAGTCGATTGTTACTGGACATAGTTTACGCCTTTTGAGGTTAAGCAAGCTCATGTAATCTTTGTTGGTGTTCCTCTGCTCCTCTTCAGGCCTTCAGGCTTTGGTTGAAGAATGTGAGATTCCTAGACCATCCGAGGTACCTGAGCGGGAGCTACAGGTCCGAAGCTCTGAAGCGCGACCTTGAGATCCGTTCCTCCTGCAGCTTCCTGCATCAGAAACCGAGAGAGAGCATTGGAAGAAGCGGCACAGCAACGACCGATGAAACAGCAGAGAACTCAAACCATCAGAATTACAAAGATGGCGGAGGGAGCATCGGGGCGAGGTGGTGCGTCTGGACGGATGCTCAATGGCCATGGTGCTGATGGTAACACCAACAGGGAGAAATCATTTATAGTAGATGAGATTATTTTTTGAAATGCTCCAAGCTATGTATGATTGAATCAAAGCTATTTTGTTTTCTGGGGTTTCTGAGATCAATGGAAAGACACATTGTTTTTCTCTTTCCATATTTATCTGTCAGGATTTTTATGATTTCCTCCCTACGTTTTGGTGTTGTGTGATCTTTGCTCTCCCCCAGACGACAAATTTACTCGATAGCAAGTTCAAAGATATAGGTATAGCACAAACTATATATAGAGAGACCAAATTGTGAAAAAACAAGACCACTGTGCAGATCATCGTCTGTCCTTATTTTGAATTACATAAACAGGAATAATAGTTACATGATTTTTTTTAACAAAGACAATGGTAAATTGTTAGCCCCAAATGCCTGATTCAGATCAACCACTACCCATGGAAGCGTCTGTCGGCCGTGCTGCTATTTGACCTATACTACAGTTTCACTCCAGAGTGGATGGCAACTACACCGCCCACCAGATTTTCATATTCGACCGCCTCAAATCCAGCTTCCTGGATCATCTGAGCAAACTTTTCCTGGAAAGTATAAGTAGTTTGATCAGCAGACATGCGAAACATATACAGACACATGAAATGCTTGAAAAGTCTTGTAATCTTGCATCCTTCAGCTTTATATCTTTTGCTGTGATAGGAACAGTCAATGTCAATACTGTTTTACAAGGTACTAATTACTCCTAGATATTCTAGAGGTTTGACATATTCTAGATGTTTGACATATGGTAGAAATTACTAAAAAGCAAGAAGTTTAGAAGAAACCAGTCAGCTCAGTAACAGGAAATGCTTTAGAAATGCCGATCTTCACCTGTTTTGGAAACCGACGAATGCTCTCGACCAAGTATTGGTACGACTGCCTATCACCAGCAACTAGCTCTCCCACAGCCGGAATCACAGAAAACGAATAGACGTCGTAACTGGAGGAAAAAATGGATTAGTGAACTTCCAAAAGTTCAGAGCGAAATAATCAAAACAGTAGAACATTACTTTCCACAAAGCACTCGGAGGATTTTTTTGGAATGATGAGACAACACTATAATTGAAGCAATAAACAAAAAAAGGGTCATTTTCTATTTGTACCAAATAAACGACAACAAGAAACATGAGCCTATGTAGGGCAACTTCCGGCGATGTTTAACACATAGCCGCATAGGCTGCTAACAGATTATAACTTTGTTGCAGTGCTTAGTGCAAATGCTGAAAATGAACAGTGCAGTTGCTGACAATTAATTGTATGTCTGGCATCTGTTTGTTTAATTTTAACAGAATGTTCAAGACATTTCTCATACAAATTTATCCTACAATGCTGGCATACTTGACTAAAGAAACCTTACATGTCTTTAAAAATTGGAACATCCACATGGCTCAACTCCAAGCACAGGAACCTTCCTCCTTTCTTTAGAATTCTGAAACACATAAATCCATGTGAAACTGATTAGATGCAAAGAACAGAAACCAGTCAGATTTCCTACAGACAGAAATCTCCTTGAAAACAACATTCAATCGAAACTTGCCAACCGTTTATAAGTTTGAAAAATCAAAATCAAATACAAATATTTGAACAGATGGATGCATCTAATTTCCAGTGTAGTAGAAACTTCAGGAGATTAAAAATGAGACTGGGGTAAGATTTGTTAGTTGGTTCAGGATTTTTGTGTGGCCCACCTGTAAGCTTCCGATAGAGCTTTCTCAATGTGTGTAACATTTCTGATCCCGAATGCAATAGTATAGCCATCCATAGACCCATCCTCAAAAGAAAGAGCTTCTGCATCTCCCTGTACCCAACTAAGGCACTGCTCCTCATTGTAGCCTGAAATAAGAATAAACTGTCGGACAACAGAACAACATTTGAAATTAAGGTGGCATGATGAAATGAGTTTCATGAACCACAACCTTTTTCAGCAGCACGCTTCTTTCCAACTTCTAGCATATTTGGATTAATGTCGCAAACATAAATGTGAGTGTCTTCTTCCATATCAGTAAGAGTACCCTGCGCAGCTCTGTGGCTCACACTCTTAATTCTTTCCACCACACGGAATGCAACATCCCCTGGAGTTGACATAGAAGAGATGCCAGGCACATTATTTCAAATTTCATAACGAGTGCTGAAGAGAATTGACAATGATATTGGTGCAGAAACTTCTTAGCAGCATAACATGTCAAAAGGAAGCCGTTCATAAATAAAAAGATACAGTGGCAACAGGAAGACAAGGTGTACACTGTACAATTAATCTAGAACAAGGCTACAATAAGCTGAGCATAATTTTTAGAACAAAGAAGAGGTCCTTAGTTAAATGTATCACTTCATAGATAATGCATGTGCTCCTCTATCTGCCAATTTGGAGAGGAAATATAGACACTGAATCTTGCATTACCACATGGAGGGAGGCAGAACAGGAATTTAAATACTTATTGTGTTAACGATCAACATTAGTACATAAATTATGACAGAGAATGAATGAGGAGTCCATCACAGACTAACATAGAGATATCATTAGCAACAGGAAATGCATAATTCTTATGTTAGGGAAAGGATGAACATGGGAACAATGCTGAGAAATCAGTGTGAAGTTTATGTGAGGCAAGCCATTGGCCATAATATATCATTTGGGAGACATCTGATCCCACTAAATTCGTTTGTGACTGTCTGTGTTGTCCTAATTGTGTCAATCTGATGACTATCATCTTATATTCTGAATGAGGGTATAGTAGAAGGACACCCCTGTTAACTGGAGTACTATTATACCTGTCCCACCGGCCACGTCGAGGTGCTTCATCCCAGGAAAAGGATTCAGCTTTGAGATCAGCCTGGAAAAGAGGCACAAGAATCCGATAAGAACAAGGAATCCCCGTATATTACGAAGTAATGGACTGAGCTCCACTAGCTAACCTGTCCTTCCAGAGCCTGTGCAGGCCAGCGCTCATGAGGTCATTCATGACGTCGTAGCTGGAGGCGACGCTGCTGAAGACGTTGCCGACCAGCTTGCTCTTCTCGTCCTCGCGCACCTGCTTGAATCCTGACGAGGAACGAGACCGTGAGCAGCAAGCAGGCCACGGGAGAGGTGGCGACGAGGAAGGGGGGCGGGGCGTACCGAAGCTGGTGGCGTGGGAGTGGAGGAAGGCCGCGTGGCTGGCGGTGCCGGCCGCCGGGAGGAGGTGGCCGTGGCGGCGGCGGAGGCTGGAGGACGCCAGCCTCGCGGCGGCCGCCCGCAGAGCCATGCCCTTCCTTCCTCGGCGGGGCGAGATGACCGGAGTAGCAGACAGCCGTCGGCGGGGGTGTGGGGGGAGAAGGGAGCACCGGCGGCGACGGCGGTGCGTGCGGAGATGCGAGCGACACGGCGACCAGGGGGAGAGAGGGAGAGGGGGCCTGTGCTGTTCTCTCGGCTTGTTGGGCCGCGTTTTCTTTTTCCGTGGACTTGTTGGGCTGCGTTGCTTTCCGCAAGCCTTTGTCGGCCTTGCAGTCGCGGGCCGCATCTCCCCTCGTGCCGCCCAAGGCCCAAGCGGTGTAGCACACGGAATCTCGAGGATTCCTAAACCGAGGAGGAAAAAAAATAGAGCAGGTTAATTACCCTCGCCGCCGCGAATCCTCTCCCCTCCACTCGCCGCCGTCCCCGACAGCAAGAATCGCCTAGCGAAAATCCTTGCGGCTCGGATTCCGGCGGCCGCCGCCGCGATGAAGCTCGTCCACCGCAACCTCACCCGCAACGGGCCCGGCTCCGCCAAGGTCCCCTCTCCCCTCTTCCCTCCCCTCTCGGCGCGCTCTGTTTGACCGGCCCGGTGGGGCTCTGTTGGCGTGGCTGCTGACTAGCTCGCTCATGTGTTGCGCAGCTGCTGCCGGAGGAGGAGGACGACCTGTGGCACGCGTACAATCTCATCGCCGTCGGGGACAGCCTCCAGGCCGTCACTGTCCGGTGAGTTCTCCTTTTGCATCGTGGTGCTTGTTTTACTTTTTCATTGCGAACGGAAGCAGAGTTAGGGTAGGTTCCTACATGGGAGACATGGTTTGCCAGGTGAAGAAAAGAAAAAAGGTTGAGCTGGCTATGATGGGTATTTCTCAGCTCTTGGCTATGGTTCTGGGGGGTTGTAGACCATCCCTGTGATAACTTGTTTCTCCTTCATGATAGTATGGTTGTGACAAGTTCAAGCCTCTGCCCAAGGGCCTTCTAGTTATCTGGTATACCATGGAAACTCATAATCCCCTCGAAATTGATCATCTTCTTCTGTTTGTTTTCAGGAAAGTTCTGAGAGATTCTGCTTCGGGAGGACGTGATGCGGAGCGCGTGAAGCTAAAGTTGGAAATTGTAGTTGAGGTGATACCATTTGTCTATTTGCATCGAGTGGCTTTGTTTAGTTAGTGGTTCTAGCTGTAACCATTTTGGCTTCCATCATCGTCGTTATGACCGCGTACTTTATGACATCACAGATGGAAAGTGGTAGGGGATTAGCAAACTGGCTGCAAAAGCTTAGAGTTATTACTGATTCTAGATCATATCTGTCGGATATGCACTGGAAAGGCTCAAGTAATACGTGACCTGAAAATTAGAGAAGGGATGCAATGGTGTAGGTCTTATACACATGTTGCTGCCACTGCGTTAGAATAATAACGTAGCGCTTTCCTTGCAAAAAAAAAAGAGTTGTATAATGGGCACCTAATGAAGCATCATGACTTGTGAACTCGAAAATACATTGAGCAGAGGTAATAAGTCACCATGCCTAGGAATTACCACCTTATACATCGCTTTTCTTTGTTTTGTTTATTGTTCTTTCCAATGCTATAAAAAACAAAATTATATGCTTTTCTAATTTGATAATGACACGATTCTTTATCTTGGGCATAGTCTGTAGATTATGACAAGGAAGGGAACGTTTTGCGCGTCCGTGGCAAAAATATTACTGAGAATGATCACGTGAAGATTGGCCAGTTTCATACTTTAGAACTTGAGCTGAAGAGACCTTTTGTTCTACGAAAGGTATGCCCAAAAGTTATTTTAAGCTATTGCCTGTTTACTCTGTGGACTACCATATTGGTTACAATTTATGATAAGTACCCTTGGCTTAAACTTGTAATCAGTTTTAATTTTGGACATGGCTCTGAAAATCTAAATGATACTCTTTCTACTTGTGTAGGAATATTGGGATTGGTTAGCACTTGATACCATCCAACAAGCATGTGGTATGTGATTTATCTTCGACAGATATTACAGCCTTTATCATTATCTGCTTCACGAAAGAAAAAAGACAGTATTTTAATTGTGTGCACTTAAACCTCTTCAGATCCTACTGCAAGTGCTGATCTAGCAGTTATTCTTATGCAAGAAGGACTTGCCCACTTATTCCTTATTGGGAGAAGGTACCCAAAACCATTTTTCACTCGCTGAACATAATATTTCATTGTTTTCTCTTCTTGAATTGCTTTAAATAATTAGATCCCATGCAAGTCTTGCTAAATATGATTATTTCATACAATAACCTTACAATAAGCTTGTCTGATTCTCTCATGATAAGCATACCTCATGAAGTTACATTGACCTTTGCACCCTTTTGATGAGGTTCTATTATCCAAGTGACCATTACCTTAAAAGTTGACTTTTCGTTTTGTGAATGCGTGTG